AAAAAAAAAAAAAAAAAAAAAAAAAAAAAAAATATACCGACGAATTGAATACCTCCTTCTTTTGGGAAGTCGGTCAAAAATATGTCTAGAGACGGTTTAGAGGCTATCCTCAATGTTATGCCGTAGTTGTATGTTATAAACATGCAAATAAGGCACACTACGGTACGAGCGTGTGTGATTAAGCGCCAGGTTTCTATGTAAGATCCGAAACCCTGACATTTAATTTCTTTGAAATAAAATACGCCTCGCGTTAGAGATATACGTATAGGTATATAGTATTATTCTACTCGGTAAGGGATTTAAATAAACTAACCATAACAAATCAGTTCAAACTAAATTATCTTCAACTTTGTACTATTATCACTCAATGTATATTAACAGAACACAACGCGAATATTGTTCGCTAATATTTCTAGCGTAGGTATACTGTATTTATAATTGACTTGTTTTCTATCAATTGTCAATTACCAATAAACAAGACAACGTCTTAATCGATAGGAAATAAAGTAGAAAATCGAATGGTTTGTGAGAAAAACTAACCATGTCACTGAACATGAACACACCGCACACCGCTCAGCTGATAGTGGGCAAAACACCCGATAAAGTATGGCGTGTTTTTCCAGTGCGATAACTCGGGGAACACCGAGAGGGCCTCGGGTAGCGAGCGCGACTATACTGCTGTGATATTCACCCGCAATAAACGATGCATCGACGAAAAAGTCCACGGTTAACATAGACGGCAACAAGTGCACCTTACACGTCACTAGCGTGTCACTTTGACTCTCAGTTGAACGGGAAATACTACTCGATAGTTGTTGACCGTCCTTGAGTGACCGCTTCGTATTTTTTATCTGTAAAAAGAAATACGTGGTTGCGTCGCTCGGTCAGCTGTTTGTATTCGTTCTACAACACGTCTATCAACATATCTCCGTATCTATATACGTGCCGTCTGAACAAAAAGAGAGCGTTCGTATAAGTTTAATGTCCATCGCTTGTTATTCATGTGTGAGATAACATGCGCCGCGCACCGAGCAGCAATGGATTAAAATATTGGCGACCGCTCGTTACGGCGCCGAGCCGAGAGACGTCGTAATATCGGTTCGAACACGGCGTGAGGCGAGGTTACTGTGACGCGTGACTTGCAAGGTCCCCGCTGCAATGCACGATGCGCCAAGGTTGCCTCGTTCCTTCGTACTCACACAAGAAATAATCCCATATCTTAAAGAATTCGAAAATAAAAAATATATGTTATAAATACTAATAGGTATGTTGTTAAAGCGCGGGAACATCTTTGGACAAGGGGAAATCGGCAGCGTTTCGTGGTCTTAGATATGATAAGCAGTTAATGTGTTGTAGTACTTACAATTGGGGTTTGCAAGTGCGGCTCGTGCAGGAGCGTTGAGTCGGCGAGCGATGGCGCTGGCGCGGGCAGGGTCCGTGTGGCGGCTGCGGCTGGCGGTGGCGGTGGCGGGTGGCGGCGGCTCGCGAACTCGGAGGCGTCGCGTGCAGCCCGGCGGACGGCGCGCGCGGCACTGGCGCGGGGCCCGTCTTGCCCCGCCGCGGCCCTGGCGCGCTGACGTCACCTGGCCCAGGGCCCGCCGCTACTATTTTCGTCCACGACTAATTATCGCCTTCCTTTGTCCAATCATGCGTTATGCACTGAAAAGGAAATCTGGCTTTATCTATGCCTACGTGCACTCGCGCCGTGTACGCGACCACCTATGTGAGCGTGTGTAGTGTCGACAGTATTATTGTTTCTGAAACAACAAAACTTACTTTTCGCCTTATGTGGCAGTAAATGAATAATCGGTCCGATGGAAAACAAATTTTACCAAATACAGAATTGTGGTCAATAGTACGAACACATACGAGTAGCTTGTAAACGTAATTTCATGTTAGTAGGATGTAGGTAATTGAATTCGTACCCACTAACTGACATCACTCAGTGACGCACGTGTTTTGGTAACGTATGGAACGAGCCACCCACCGGTCACTGGTCAGTCGACGTCGTGCAAATTATATTCCATGAAGGGAATTTCTATTTACCTGTTGTAGTTTCCATATATGACATACGAAAAAAAGTTTGTAAATAACAAGAACGCTATAGTTTAAAAAGCTAAACATTACTTCTATGATACATGTTTTTGTATACGTAAACAATTAACATTGCAAAACCTCATCCACAAGTTCAGCAATATTCACATAACTGCTTCACGTAGGATACATTTGTCTATTCAAAGCGGTGTTCGTCCTCCTCAGAACATTCAGTAATTTTCTGCTTACGCACGATTACTATAAAATATACGTGGCAACAAGTTGTCCAGTACCATACCATGTACCTACAACTATGAAGACAGGTCGGTGTAGTTAGAAAAGTAACATGTAACGTGAACTTTGCTATTACGTATGTTAAGTTCTGAGAAAAATTAACTATAGAAAAACTTAATTAAAATATACATTCACTCATTCTGCATACTCTTGAGATATCACGTAAAGTAATCAAGGAGTTATTATCTTCAGGTCATTCGTTTCCTTCTAAGGAATCCTACCGTAGTTAGGGGTGACCAGACCTTAGTCAACTACGCTGGCCTAGCGCGGGTTGGTTACCTTCAGGCATTTTAAACATTTTTCCTCAGGTTGCATTATGATTTTCTACATTTACGATGTATCATCCGTTAATAACAGTGAATAATTCGTTATCTCGAATTTGAAAGAGGATGTACTCTTCAGATAAAAGCATTTAGCAAAAGCTATGTAATAATGTAGTACGTGGGCAAAGATTATACAAAGACAATGTAACCGCCGGGAAAAACGAGTATTCTTAGGATCAAACTTATTTGTCGCAAGGTCATTAAAACATATGACGTCATCACCTCATATATAACGTGTGTATCTATAAGTACCGATTTATATAGTCTTTGTTTAGAAATGATAGCTTTGATTTCGGTGTGAATGAATTTTTTTTTTATTAGTTGTTCGTTACACTGGATACTATCTAGTTTAGGGTTAAATACTCCTGTTAATGCTAGTAACAGTTAATTCTACTCAACAACAACTACAAACTGCAACCAGCGCCAAGATGGCGGATCAAATAGGCATCATATACCAAGACTTGTAGCCTGTCCATTTATAGAGGTAGTGGTATCTACCGATAGACAATTACATTTTACGATGATAATCTTAATTCTACCAATACGTGGAATAGAGCAACATCTTGAGAAATGTGTTGATTTGATAGACTTTGTCAATAATACTTTTAGTACATTACTAATAAACATTTTTTTTCTGTCATCATTCGATCATATTATACAGCGAACTACTTTATCACATTGTTTTTTTTTTCAAGTTTCAATATTCCCTGATGAAATAAGGAAAATCGTAGCAATTTACGCAGGATATTCCGACATTTGTCATGAGATATGTCGCAGTACAGAAATGATATCAACACAACTTTTAGTAGTCGCAGTTCCTCTCTTTGATACTTCCCCTCGATTCCAGTCCTCCACTTGTTGACCAAACAGAGGAGGAGAGGATTATGCTGCTATACATCTGGCAGAGAAACCCTTATTCCCTAATACAGCACAAGATTACTGCTTTACGGATCAGTAAATGGAATAATTTAACTAACAAGGAAGTGAAACCATTGTACATTTGTTTGTTGACCGTTACACCGAGATCTTTAGAAGTGAAGTCGAGTTGAACGCGTGCCAAAACCGCTTAGCGCCGAATGACAATAAGAAATTCCGTGAAGCAAATCCCCGGCCAACAACTGACTCATACACGTGGATATGAACATGGTCTACATTTTTATTGCGTATATTGCATTTACTGAACTATAGCATTTTAATATTAAAAATTAATTACCAATATCAATAAATCCACCCAAGAAGGGAGTGATGACTGAGACAAGAAGGGTGTGATGACTGAGATGACGGATGATAGAGTTATTTGAAGGACGAAATCCCGGTGCGCCGACCTTACGGGAGTAGAAGAAGGCAGGAGAGATGATGATGAAATTAATTACCAATATCTCAGTCACCAAACATTAAGTAGAGTAGAGTCAAGAGAGTAGAGTAAGGATATCTTAATATACCTATATCTATAGTTAAAAATCTACACTAAGAGACTGATTAAGTAACCATTAAACAACTGTTTAGTAGAGAGAGTAAGACAGTAAGCTTAGTAAAACAAATGGGAGACAAATGGCTTGAAGGTTTACTAATTAACCAAGCAAAAGAGAAAGCGTAGATAGTGTAGATGTAGTGTAGATACTTTCTCTCACTTACTACTCGTAATTGTACTTCTATTATAAAAGCTAAATTTAGATGGATATTTGTTAGAAGGCATTTCTTAAACGATTGAACGGATCTCAATGCAATTTTGCATAGATGTATAGTATAGTCTGAAAAAAACATAGGCTTTTTTTTTCCGCGAAAACAGTGACACAGGAAAAACCTAGTTTGTAACAATAGTAATTAATTACGCGTATCTAAGGATATTGCAAAAAGTACCGCGTTACTAACAGGTTACGTTCGTGACGAAGTATCCAGGAATGTAGGCAGTCATATGTACTTTGATCACTATAAGATTTGCTGCATTATGTTAACATAAATATAAACACTAAACAGATTGCGTCACTTCTGTCTATACGTACTTGTTTTATATTAAACAGTAGAACCTCGATAACTGAAACCTCGGTAACTTAAAAACCTCTATAACTTAAAAAAATAATACGTTCCCTTCCCATCAGAGCCCAAAACCTCTACAATATAGACCCACCCTTGATAACTTAAAACCTCTATAACGTAAAATATTCTCTGTTTCCCTTGGACTTTAACTTATCTAGGTTCTACTGTACTAGCTTTCGCCCGTGAGTTTAGTAGCCTGTGTTCTTTCAGATTATGCTCTACATCTATGCCAAATTTCATGGAGATCTATTCAGCCTATTAGGCAAACTTTACAAATGTAATGTTCGTGAGATACGCGTTTCTTACCACGATATTGGGAGCTAAAACAATCCAATCGTGGTAAGAAACCCGTATCTAACATTATATTTGTAAAAACCACGACAGTTTAAAGTTATACATGGCAAACTTTACATCCATTCATCCATCTAAATTGTAACATTTACAATAAATATTAAATAAGATAGAAATTAGATTAATAATGTTTTTAGCCTTTACGATAGTTTCTGATATATTTGACATTGAAATATGATTGTAATCAAAATTTTGTATTTATTTTTTTACGCCCATCTTGTATAACCTCTTACACTTTGACGCAACTCAACTACAGAGACTGCTTACTCTATTAGGCTACCATTGGACTTAAATGTGTTTAATTTTACATGCTTATTAATATAACTTAGGTTAACTCTTGCTCAACTTAAAATCTAATTGAATTATACATTTACAAGATCAGAGTAACTTTGGTCCAAAGAATTTGTTAGGTTAATAAATACAAACTCTACTCATAAAACTTACCATGTATACTTCTCATACTTACGGACTGCAGATAGTTTTCTTGGATTCTCACACGTTGATAAGTTTCAATAAATAAAATAATTATTTCGTATTTGCTTATAGTTATATTTTTGCGGGAATTGTTACTTGACAGTGACAGTTAGCGGTCAATGAACTTATTAGGTGCCAGTATTTTTCACAGAGGTTGATAGGTATATAATATGTCGTTTGCATGCTGAGTTTTGCTCACAAATTAAAATGTATCGTAATGTATTACTGAATATTTTGTCAGTAATGTTTTATACTGATTACTTTTTCGAAATAAACAAGAAGAAAAATTATCACTAGAGATCTTCATGTATACAAACATCATATAGAGGAAAGATTTGTATTTTTGTATGTATTGAAAAGACTCAAAAATTACTGGGGATATTACACGAATTCTTTCACCATTAGAAAGATAATGTATCTGTGAGTAATACATTTTTTTTATTTTCTTAATTTCATAGGGACGAAGTCGCGAGCTAGTAGAGAATGTTAAAATATGACATTATTTTATATTCACAGTACATTATTATACTTTTACAACGTACGAAAGGTTTACAAAGAAGTGATGTAATGACGAATGGATGAGCTCTGCTAGAAATCTGTATGCATATTAACACCAGCATTTGTAGATAGATAGCATAGCCCAACTTTATTCCCTTTTCTTTCCCACTCTTTTTCTTATACGAAAAGGGTGGGAAGGGAACGTGAATTGGATGCTGCAGGAGACACATAGGAGGGGGAGGTATGCTATTTGTGAAGGCAAGGGTAAGATATGATCAAGGGTAGGCAACCCATCCGTTATTGCGAATGTTTATGGGCAGCGGTCGCTTTTCCATTTTGGCGGATGGCATGTTTGCCACCTTATGATATAAAAAATGCGTTTGTTTTTGTGCACGGGAGGTAATTCATTGTGTAAAAGTTACTTGTGTACTTGTAAATGAACCGATGTGAAACTTGTAGGTATGATGGCATACGAAGGTTCGCTTACTAGTTTATTTATTATTGTTTTATAAATCATTATACTTGATTATAAATGAATAGGATCTGTTTTTCGCTTTGATTTACGCTGCGAAAACCTGCACTTATAATGTATTTTAAATCTTTTGTCCCGAAGTACTTTTCAATATTGATTTGTTTTAGATATGAAATCATTGGAGCGTTTAGGTTTATTGTAAGTCTATTTTTAGGTCTCATTGTAAGTCTGGCCTTTAGGAGGTCGGATGTTACAATGAGTGAAACCTGCACTTCCAGACACAATCTCTTTCCTTTCGTAACATTGCTCATTCTAGATTTTGCGATGTCGCAAACTTTGTACTACAGTGATATACGATATTATAAAACGACAGTTAAAATAATCATCTACTTTCGTAATGCGTCGTCGTTGTCATCCTTGCAAAGAGTTAATAAATCGCTTCTAGTTGTCTTACATCAATGGGTATGTCCAACTACGCATGTAGTATAGAAATTCTTCAACTCTATTTATCGGTTCTTTCCCCTTTGGAGTTCGAAATTCAAAATACATCTTAATTTAGTCCCAAAATCAATGTACACTAAGATTCGAGCGTGCTCTCCACTTATTTGTTACTAGCTGTTTCCGTGAGGCTTCATCAACATGAAATTATAAAAACTTTATTTTATTCATTACATTTGTGAAATTCTCAATTGCAAATGTCAAAATTAAATTAGTTTCTTAATGTTGGCAGCTTGTTGTTATTGTCCCTTTCCCACGTAAAGGATTTTTTCCAATTTATTAACCCCCTAAGTTTAATAGTGTGAAAACATATAGCCTAAAGCCTGTCGTAAGTGTAGGGTTTTTTATTTAAGAGTTATTCAAAAATATGCTGTGATTGCTGACATCCTACGCCACAAAGTTGTGTGTGTTTACGCTTTATTATAATAGTATAGATAGATATTGCAAGAACTTAGGCAGAAGTTTCATAAGTCTATGTTAGCATGTGTTGGACGATATCCTTACTTATCCTTACCGTGCATATTCTCGTCAACGGAGTCTTCGCTTGATTTACTTCGACTGGTCATTTTCCTTGCATACTTGAGCTGACTATTTAATAATTGTATATCATTAACAAAATAAAAATTAATAACTCGTTAGTAACAGATCAGAGCAGTAGATTTCTTTAGGATTTTTGCATAATATAAATTACTTTTTTAAGAAGACTAATAAAATACGTAAAAAAACATGTCAGATTTAAAAAAACTGAGCACAACTGCGTGTTAAAGGAAAACAACTGTTTTTATATCCAAGACCTTGATGAATTCATTGAATACAGATTTAGTATAGAAGTTTTATTGCGTTTTAGCGTAGAATTTGGTATTAGTATTGTTCTAAGAGGTTAGAATCAACAGTTTTTCATTCTTCGTAATAAATTAGTTAATCAAAGAAAATTTCATAACTTCTTTTAATAACAAATAATGTAGAATTTCAATTTGATTATTTAATTTGCGTATATTTTATATAGTTTAACGGAAAATGGTGGGTATTTTAAATTCCTTATGTTTGTGTTTGTAGCATTATTGTCTACCAAAGTTATTAAATTGTAATCATAATTACCAAACTAAATATAAGGTCACGATAATTTCGAATAGGTTAACATTAATCTATATTTAAAAATAACTATGACCTATATACTATGTAAAAGACAGTTTTTTTTTAAATGCATGTGGACTAAATTTCGGAAAAAGGGTACTGAATTTTCTTAATAATAATGATTTTGTTAGAGTTTGTAGAAACAGTGTAATTTACATGCGGTAGCGTTTATTTATAGATTTGTATTTCTATAAAGTTTCACGTCTCTAAAAGCGAGTTTTGACTAAATAACTCTATGAAAACATAATCTTATTATTACAAATACAAATGTTTAAATGAATGGATGGATGTATGTAACTATTGTTAATCCAAAACTTTTCTTAATGAAATTTGGCATAGATGTAGAACATAGTCTGGAAGAACACATAGGCTACTTGACAAGTTTACTTTAAACCAGAGGAAGTCGCGGGTACTAATTATTACTAATTATGTTAAGAAGAAAATTAGAACCGTGTTGCAATAGGCGCAACACTAGATTATCGGCATAAACGTCACGTTCCAAAATGACAGCTGTCAATGTCATTAGAAGGATTGGAATATTCCCGCGCATTCCTGGGTGAGTTCCCTATTGGAGTTTGAGGAGGACGAATTGGAGGAGTATCGCTTTGGAGAGTAATCGCTATTCGTAAATTGTTTAAAAATACGTCATTGTTTCGGTAGAAGAAAACTACATAAAAATTTGTGTGGAATTTGTGTGAAATTGGAAGAAAATGTGATTTCACAATCTTTACGGGATTATGAAAAATTAAATTGAATTTATAAAATGACATGATAGAAAAATGCAAGCGAATGAAAATAGATGCGAATACAAAGAATATCGACGTTGCATTTCAGTTGCATTCGGCTTTTGTTTATTTAGTACAAGGTGGTTGACCGAGTTATCGCTGAACAGCATTATTGCTCACACATGCGAGAAAAAATGATAAAACGTACAACGATCGCTTTAGTAAACTATTTTAAACAATTTCACAATATATCAAACTAACACATTTTTTAGTTAGAACTACTCTAATGATATCTATCTATTTAATTAAATTGCATCCAACAGATGTGAAGAAAAATCGAAAAACACGTCCCTTATTTACACATTCTTTAACTGGAAGTATTACGATAGATTTTATTGCAAAGAAAGTTTTAAATTAAATTATTATCAAATTTCATAAGAATTAGCGCGACTACGTTTCGTTAACTCTTGACAAATTTTGTGCTTCATAATTGCAATTTTTTTTAATAACCTTAACATATACACTAGCATTATTCTATTTCAGTTACGTTGCTAGCTTAATTATTATATGCTGTTGCTCGCGACTTCGCTCGCGTGAAATATAAAAACAATAAACAATATAGCCTATGTTATTCACAGGTAAATTATCTTCTAATGGTGAAAAAAAAATTAATCGGCCCTGTAGTTTTTACGTGAATCAAAAACATACAAAAATACAAATCTTTCCTCTTTAAAATATCAGTATAGATTAGTTAACATTTTAAAATAAATATTATAACCTAATTATATTATAACCTAGGACGTTATATGAGAATATTATTTAGATATGTATAATCGACAATTCAGCTTCATGCATTACTTCTTCGTTTATTTCTTCTTCCTTGGTGTTCTTCTCGAATCTTCTTTTCTTATCTTCTATAATCGAAAGTGTAGGATGAGTCCTCTCTTGGCATTCACCGCGTGCCTTATGATTTATATCAACACATAAAGGCCGGCAGTGGACGCGAGGAGGAGGACTGCCTTGCTTCTCAATACTTCTTTATTCAAACTTCTTTCTTGCTCTTCAAGTACTTCATGTTCAATATGTTCCGTATTAAATTTATAATACAATAACATAAAATCAGTGACTATTGTTATTTATAAGAAGTAAATTACGAACAATCAAATAAAAGTATTTCAATCTTGAAAAATTACTGCTGCAATTCGGTTGATTTTAAAATTTGCAGCGTGAAATTATAAGGCGCTACGATTCTTTACTGTTTACTTAAATCAGACTAGTGGTCAAGGACAGGTAAAAAACGACAAAAAGTTACATTTGAGACAAAAGAGAGATGAAACCTTGACATAAAAGAATCTTGAACCCGTTATTTCGTCGAGAAAACTCATTTCAGACGAGTCAAAAGGAAATTTTAATTGGCTGAAATAGAAGCTACTTACGTTTATACATTATAAGGTTTCAGCAAGATTTATGTAAAAAACGTTTAGGAAACTTAAGAATTTATATGAAATTTCAAAATTTATATCATGGAAGAAAAAATTTTTTTTAGGAAAAAAATCGAAACAAAAATAATTAGTTTTAGCTTATATCTAAGTTAATTTATACGTCAGTTAAGAACATTTAAACTAGTCCATCAAGAAAAAAATATTGAAGAAATCAATTACTGTTGTGGCTAAAATTGAAAAATTATAATTCTAAATGCATGCACAATATCGAAATTTTATGGTAACACATATAGTTAAAGTAAATATACAAATAAGCTACGTACTTACATAGGTTCAATGTTTAGTAGTGTCCAGCAAACTGAAGGCTTCATCGGGATGTATTCTTGTTATCGAAACAAGAAGCTTTTTTGTAAATCAACAATAACTAGTTAACAAACACTTGGTACTTATTTATAAGTTGTATAATTGGTATATTTTAACAAAGGAAATGAAATCCTAAAACCCTAGAAAAACTAATTTAAATTCAGAAAGTGATGTAATGAACGCAATTGCACCCACAAGCAAGAATTTTATAGAAGGATGCAAACGAGTGGATTGCCCAATATTAGTTGTGACGCCCATTGGATGTCCATAACACCAAAATAGCAGATACATATATCGCTGGCCTTTGAGGGAGATATATGCACTTTTCATAAAGGCCTCTAATCGTAACTGTTTAGAAATATCGCTGAGAACAGAGTAGAACGCTTCTATTTAAGGTAGAATATGAAGTGTTTGTTAGGTTAGGTTATATATAACTATATATATTTTTTGTCTATAATAAAGTAACGTAGAAGCGTTGCATCTATCGTAGTTTACGGACTAGTTCGGGTTCGGGGGAGCATTGTCGTGCACAATGGGTGCAAATGCAGCTGTCGTGGCCTTTGTTACTACCCTAGGGGTGGCACGATTTAATAAATTGGGATTATTACATTGATTACAGCTTTATGACAGTCAACTGCAGCGAAAAGATGGTATATTAAATTGTTATTTATGTTACAGAAGTTCTGTACATATTCAATAGATTAATTCGAAGTTAGTTTGCTTTGTTCTATTTTTAATGTGATTTAAGGTTGTTAATGAGAAAAGAAAACCGTTGTTTTTTCAATGATCAGATGTAGGACTAGGATTCACTCAGATTTCTTTTTTTTACGTTTTATTCTACAAGTAAGTCGGTTTAAAAGCGAGCGAATTTATGAACATATATGTCTATTGTCTGCTCAGTGCTACATTACGCCCATAAGGTAATTTTATTAAATTATTTTATGACTCCAAACGTTTTCAATTTATCCAATAACGAAGTTAGAATTTTTATATATTTGTATTAATATTAAAAACTGTAAATCAAAAATAGATTAATGTTGTCAACTAAGTTAGGCTAAACTAAATATATTTCATTAATTACTAAAGCTCGAAGTAAATTAACCAGAGACAATTTATTTTTTATTTTTAGTTGACACGATTAGGTTGTTTTTAGTTTTCGTGTTAATTCATACTTTTGTGGTATTTTTAGAACAAGTTGGGCGGTATTGTGTGGTACCATCGATTCTTAAGTTTACCCTAACCGTGTTAAGAAATTCTCATGTCTTGTCAGATATTGTTTTATTGTTTTCTGGGGAAATTTATATCAAATATTGCTTTTTGTATCTTTTTGAATAAAAATTGATGTAGTAAGAAAACTGATCTAGTAAATAAAGGCGTGAATTAAGACTATTCTGTGTTTTTTTAATGAATTAAGAAAACATAAAAAACAGCAATATATTATTTTGCTCATTTGCACTTTTAGGTTATCCTGTATTATGTGCTCATTTGTTTCGTATTTTTCTAAATGTAACTTTCATTTAAAGCCTAAGATTGTAGAAAATCCTTGTATATAAATCAATGTATACAAATGACTTTTTGATAGTACGTTAGAAACAGTGCGCCAGTGTTGCTTGATTGATCGCTCGGAAGTTGTACACCCGTGCACAGAAATGCTTATATTTTTATTGTTACGTTTACGAATTGGCTTAATTATTTGGGATTAAAAAACGAAAGTGCGTATACAATGTGTTCTTCCAGACTATCCTCTACATCTATTTTAAATTTCATCAAAATCCGTTCAGCCGTTTAAGCTACAAACTCTAACAAACATCTATAATAAACTTCCGCATTATAACATTACTAGCTTTCACGCGCGACACCGTCCGCGATGAGTAAAAAAAAAACAAAAGTAGGAAGCCCATGTGTTCTTCCAGACTATGCTCTACATCTATACCAAATTTCATCTAGATCCGTTAAGCCGTTTAGGGTACAAACTCCATCTAAACTTTCGCATTGTTAATATTAGTAAGGTAACAACCGTCGTATAGCCATATTGAAATCAAAAATATCACTTCCGAATTACAATATTGTATAAA